ATGTTAGAATGATTAACTACTAAACAATACATTTATAGTATTCTAAAATGCTTTCAATTTGTTATCAGAATAGTTTCAAACATGTTTGAGACATTTCATGTCAGAAAACATGCACATAGGATAAGCTGGCAATGATTAAAGTCTTGTTTTCAAATTCTTAAAAAAAACTGAAACAGGGGTAGGGGTATAAAATGTACTGTAAAAGGAAACTTAGAGTATATGCAGTGATTTCCTTAAGGCTTTAATTCTAATAAATAAGTATTGTTGTGAGAAAAAGTGTTTTAGAAGGCTTTGTATTTGAATAAATGTTTGTATAGGTTGCACTTTGTAAATACAGCTGTTTCTCAAACCACGCCTCTTTTGGGGAGATATATAATATTCATAGATATGTTAATTTGTTACTGCACTGGTTCCCATTTATGATCTCTGTGTTTCATCTCATAGAGACATCACTTGGAAATCTAACCAGTATAGAAAAACATGGTAGCGCCTAAATTTTAATTCTTAGGAGGTCCAAATTTGAAGGTAAGGGTTGTATAGAATTTTAGTATAAGTTTAAACTCTTAGAAGTTCAGGGCATATAAATGTTGAAAATATGCCGCACAGCTCTATATATTGACCTTTGAATAAAATAGTAGTGCATATAAACTTTCCGTTCTGGGATATTATTTTTCACGAAACTTCATAGTAAAAGTGTCACAGTTTTAGCCGCAAAGGGAGTTCCTATGGGAAATTGCATTGTCTATATTTACAGAATTGCAACCTATATGATCTGTTTCAAATCTTTTTCCCTTAAATATTAATATATCTAAGAAATTTAATTGACTTGTCGAAATCTTATCAGTAAATTTGAGAAGCGAATGAATATTATTTGCGATCTGAAAAATATCTTTTATGTATTTTTTATCCGAATTGAATAAATAAAACTGTCGTCCCTGTAAATTGACAGTATTATTATGTTGTCCGAATGTTGAAAATGTTTCAGTATATTTGTTATTATTTCAAAGTTTCATAGACATAATTTCACAGAAACATTGAAACATTGACGAATTAGCGAAACGAGCTATGAAATAATTTATACAAACCTAACAGTTCCTACTAAACATTTTGTTATGCAGAACTAATTAATGACCATCATGTATACAACACATGTAAATTGATATTCTTATGACTAAACAATCCAAGTAAAAAGTACGAAACTATCTTACTTTGAAATACTTAATTCAACATTGGTTGAAATAGTTTGAAAAAACAAAATAACCAAAATGCACATTCAACATGTTCAAATTAACAAATAAAAAAAAATATGATTTAAAAAAAAAAAAAAAACTATTGATAAAATAAAATAAAATAAAAATTAAAACTGTAATAAAAGATAAAAAAAAATAAATAAATGAAAAACAAAAGCAAAAGTGGTGGTCTTTGATGAAGGTTTTCCTGGAATAAACACAATTCCGAAAAAAAAACTTCGAAACATTACTTACATAGAACAGTATCAATGTAATGCCAGCGATATTATTCGCACCTAAACGAATGGATATTGGACCAATTTCTATGAACTGTGAAATCATGCATAGTTTTCAATTTAAAAACTGATGCTAGAGTACTTTTGTGGGTTATGAAAATCAATCCAAAAAACATTACCTGCTTAATCAAAAGCATTAAAAGTGAACTTCAGGGTTTTTAAAGCTGTTTAGGGTTAGCCTTAATCATGGCCACAGCAAAGTTTTGAAAGCATACGAGAAAACAAAACAAATTGGCTTATAAAATCATTTAAAAAACAGAGTCTTCCAAATTAGCACTCGAGGACATAAAGAAAAGTTTGAAAAGGGAAATTTAAAAAACTTGAATATCAAAATCTATGTAATAAATCCCGAATAATACTTAAAAACGGACCACAGTAGTTTAAAACAAGTAAAAATGAAGATATATCTACACATTTGTAATTTGTTGTGGAGTATGCTTGACCATTCAAACAGATATTGTTTGTTTCAGTACTACGATTTAACAATCTGCATATTAAGCCATAATTTCATCTTGCTAGATGAAAATTTATCAAAGCGGTACATCTTTTGTCCCTCGCAAAGTGCTAAGACTTAAACTCAATTGGAAAAGTAACTGTTGTATTTTTTTATTTTAGTTCTTAACATTACGATAGTTTTTGTTTGCTTTTGATATAAAGTATATTATTGAATGGGATATCTCTCATTTTAGCCGTTGCTTTGATTGTTTTGTTTTTTAAATCAAATATTCATTCAATGTTTGCTTATTGGTTTTGCATACATATTTTTTTTTATACATGTCATCATTTGAACATAAAGAACGAAAGAAATAATTCATCTTATTTTCCTTTCTCTAAATAAAATCAATAATAATTAATCAAAGACAGTCTTCCTGGTTCGTGACACTCATTAATAATAAATATGACTATTCATTCCAATCCAATAGATAGTCCATTCCACATGTGCAGTAAGTTATTATTTTGATCTGAGCGTCACTGATGAGTCTTATGTAGACGAAACGCGCGTCTGGCGTATTAAATAATAACCCTGGAACCTTTGATAACCATTAGAACAATCCTCTGAAATCGATGACGTGAATAAAAGGAAAAAAATGAAATTGAATGTTTCTCTGAAGAGGATGTTTAAAAAAATTGTTATTTTATGAATAATGCCGTCGACTTATATCACGTTGTTGAATGTGCAATGTGCTTTAAAGCGATGAAAATATTTGTCAAATTAATAATCTCAATTATTTCACATGACAGGCAATTGATTAATAAAATTCGATCGAACTTTTAAATCATTGAGATGGTATGATATTTTGAAATTATATTGAACTTAACCAAAGTCATGCTAATTTAATAGTGATATTAAATTGAAAAAATATGAAAGTATTAAGCAACAACTGCAAAGAAGTCAAGTTTGTTTTCAAGAAAAATAAATGCCTATAGCAAAGCGTTGGCTACAAAGCGGATGAAGACTATCATTTACATTTACAATCCTTAGAGTTGAAAATAAACTAATTAGAGCCGAATTTATTCTGTTCATTGAAATTCTTTGCAAAATCGTTAAGAATTTCAAGCTGTCTGTTCAGAATGTAAACACAATAACCCATTACAAGGAGAATACCCCACTCTTTACACTTTAAAGAACCAGTGCAATAACTGTATAAGACTGATGCACATGTCATCGTTTGTAAACTTTTATTTCACCAACTATTTCATTGTTAACAATGGCGGTGCTATCATATTCAAATCGAAAGATATTAAAATTTCAAACACTAAGTAATTATAAACTTCTTCTTATAATAAAGAGTTATGGCAAATTTTATTCGCAACAGTATTAAACTTTTTTACGCAATTGCATGAATCTATATTTGTCTAAAGGTTTCCATAATTATTGTGTTTCAGTTATGAGTATCGTTATCCTAATTTTCTAGAATGGAATACATTTTTGTATAAATAATAAATATTTTTATCATTGCATTGTACGTTACTAAATATTATTGCTAATCACATATGTACATTCATGGTCCTACCATCTGTCGATCCCTATATTTTAGCTTTGCAAAAGACTATATATTATTTCTCATACTGCCAATGACGTCTTTACATTAAATCCATTGAAAGTTGGCTATGTACTGAATTGTCATTTTAGTCTTAGATACAAGCTTAAGATTTTTTATTAGTTGATATTGGCTTTGAACCAGCTTTCAGTAACTGTGAGTACTCTCAGATCTGTTCTATTTGTCTTTTGTGTTTTTATTAGTTGTCTTGTGGCTTTGTACCGATCTGATGTAACTGATGTAACTGGTCCTTATAATTTGTTCTTATGTAATGATGTTACACCCCAGTTCAAAATTAACGGAGGGTTGAGTGTCTGTAAATAGATATAAGAAGATGTGATATGAGTGCCAATGAGACAACTCTCCATCCAAGTCAAAATTTATAAAAGTAAACCATTATAGGTCAAAGTACGGTCTTCAAGACGGAGCCTTGTTTAACATGTTTAACCCCTAGATTCTTATGTTTTACATTTGTCACTTCGGTGCCTTTTAAAGCTTGCTATGATGTATGGGTGTACTTATTGTTGAAGGTCGTAAGATGACACACCGTTGCTAACGTATATGTAATTTACTCTATGGTCGAGATTTGTGTCTTTGGCAATTATACCACATCTTCTCATTTTGATGTAAATACATTTTTTAGAATTGTTTCTACCGACTGAAATAAAAGTCGGAGCGGGCGAAAGTTTTATTCACCTTTTTCATTGTCTCACTACAGTTCATATTTATGCCACTTAAATAACGTTACACTTAAGCACAGGTTATATCAAATGTTAATAGCCCCGGCGTTTATATTTCATGGAATTCTTTTAGTGAATGTCTGTTCTATACATGTTATAATTGGACTTGCAAGCTATTAAGTGTATTCGGCATACGAATGTAATATAACTTCAATATGATTATCACAAATTATTGTAAATATTATCTATTATAAAATACTAACACTCTCAAAATATTTGAAAATAAATAATATTTTCTACTAGGAATAGTATTAAACAACACTTGGAGCTAAATGATGTTGACATCAGGAACTTAACGTATGTTTTTAGGAACCAAAACATATATCTAACATATGTGTTTGTGTATGTACGTATAGCAAATCTTGGTTAGTGTGTGTGTAAAGTTAATTAATTAGACGTACCCTTCTAAAATTCCACAAAATTATGGACATATTACAAGGAACGTAGTTTTATTGATGTGCTTTTTTATCATTGCTGAAAAGTCTTTGACACTAACTTTTCTAAAAAAGGCCAGGTTTAATTCTTAACACCAACTAATTTATATTCACTGATATGTTGGTCTTTTAAATAAAAGTATAGGTAAACGGGACAAATAAACAGCAGCAAAGTTCACGAAAACAAAAGGAAACAAGCCAACAAAAAAAAAAACACACGAAAACGGACAGTCAGTCCAAATATAAAGAAAGGCAAAGAAAGTCAACCACAATTTGTAATAAAAATAAATAATCAATAGCAACATAAAATCTTTAACAACTAAGTCAGTACCGCTGACAAACTAAAATCACATATCAACAATAATCATTTTGTAAGTCTTTTCAACTATCGCTGAAAGTTGTAGGAGCAACTGATCCCGGCTTTCTGAAATGAATCAAAAAGTTAATTATAGATGCCGTTAGTTAAAATAGCTTATTTAATTGATAACAGTTCTAATTTGTGATGTCGTAAAAATACATGCTTCATGTTATATATAGAAAAAGAGTACAGGGCACACACCTAAAACACTGTCAGATATTTTTGTATTACCATTCTTACTCAATAATTCAATCCGCATTTGTTCAATTGGGTCTGTAAATAAATTACAGTTTTTCAGTGCTAAATTTATGGGAAAGAAATCAAATTTTCGTTTTGCAAGTACATGCAGTGCATTAAAATTGTATTTTCTGATATTTACAAAATAGCATAATCAAAAAGCATAACTGAATAAACATAGGCAACTCCGTAAACAAAACGGGAGAAAAACGAATAGGTAAAGAACATTTCACAAAACATCACCGTTAATTTTGATTGTGAAACTTAATCAAATTCGAAATGCCAATTAAGAGCCAAATGTTTAAACGGTTTCTTATGTCATAAACAATATTAAAGGAACCGACTTTACTGCACCAGATGCGCATAATGTAAATATGTTAACAATATCAAGATCTGGATCGCACATTATTTTTGTTCGTGGTATTATCGAAATTAGTATACAGGCATATTTATGGGAAATAAATTAGGCCGTTAGTTTTCTCGTTTGAATTGTTTAACATTGTCATTTCGGGGCCTTTTATAGCTGACTGTGCGGTATGGGCTTTGCTCATTGTTGAAGGCCGTACGGTGACCTATAGTTGTTAAATTCTGTGTCATTTGGTCTCTTGTGGAGAGTTGTCTCATTGGCAATCATACCACATCTTCTTTTTATATATATATATATCGATGTGCACAATGGTTGTCTTAATATTGTATTTGTTCATGTACTCTTCAGTTATATTCTAAGTTATGTTATGACAATATTTTTTTTATTTCAAAATATAATCTTAAAGTCAGTACTGCTGACACAACAATTCACAAATCAGCAATGAACATTAAAAATGCTATGCGAATCCATGAAGTACCCCATATCATATTTGTCACTCGAATATTATCTCAAAGTTGCTGAACAAATAATCAAGTAGATACTAAGTATAGCATTATGATAGTCGAGACTCCAAATTCAAATATCACATTCACAAGTGCATCATTATCGCTTTATAAAAATCACGGCTGTAAGAGGTGAGTTCAACTTGGATACCATACTGTCATTACGAAAACGTAAATTTATTTTTCATGTCATCGTTGCGAAATCCATAATGGTTTTTTAAATCCTTTTATTTTTCAATAGTGCACACATTACAAATATACAACAGAAAAATAGGAATTTGGTAAAAAGAAGAACTTATATAAATCAGTTTTCCTGTTTACTCACACACACACATACATATTTTGTACATTAAAAAAAAAAACATTCTGTGAGTATTGCCTGGCAATCTATATTCCCCTTCTTTATAGTCCCCTCTAATTCAGTGTACTTAAACAAAATGCTAACTTTATCTACATGTACAACTTGTAATTGTGTTAGCCATATAACAGATATCTTCAATCATGACAAAAAAATGTGGAACATTGATTATTTGACCATAACTCTGCACAAAATTATTAGACGGGACAAAATTCGAACTTGATCTCTAACTTGTAATAATAAAACTATATATATATGTATCATTCATCAAATCAATATCTTCAAGTGTGACAAAAACGTGCGGAAAACTGATTATTTGAGTGAATTATCTAAGTTAAAGGACCATTACTCTGCAAAAAATCGTCAGACCGGAACCGATTTCGGACTTGACCTGTAACTTGTCATGATTAGGCAATACTCCATATATCAAATCAATATCTTCAAGTACGAGGAAAAGTGTGGAAAACTGACTTGTCGGACTGAGGGATGTACAGACAGACAAACAGACGGACGGAGTACATTCCCAAATTTCCCTTCGATTTCGTGGTTAGGTGACTTATGAATAGCTATTCCCTGCTTCATTATACTTTGTATTTGCCTGTTTTATTCAACTGACACTTTCTGATTTTTATTCTTATTACAAATAAGTCATACACAATTTTTAAGTGGCATTAGATTTCGACAGCAAGCAATAGACTGCATTTATAAGACTCATATGTTAATCAAAAGTTTGAATCCGTTATTATATATAAAATTATACTTTTTCTGCTTGTTATTGGTATATAATAGAGAGTTGGCGATATTTCATTACCATTATTGTTTTATTGGGAATAAAAAAAAAAATAACTAGAATGTAATAAACATAATTAGAATGGAAGTATTTTTCAAATTAGCTTTTCCAAAATATATTTCTTAGGTACTCATACCTAATATATAAAACTACTAACACCACCACAATACACATCAGTACAAAAACACTAACGATAACGCCTATTATCCAAGGAGGAAAAGAGTCATCTGAAAAAATAATTGAAAAGGATTTAATACATGAACATTAATAAGTGCAAACCCCACAAAAAGATCCACTGAAACTTGGTCTTAAGAAAAACCCACAAAATTTGTATTATTGTGTGGCATAAATAACACAATCATAGTTATATTTTGTTCAAACTAGTGACAAGTATGTCGTTCTGTTAAATAGATTATCAAACAGGTTAAGATAAAAAAAAATGTTGTGGCACTTTGTGACTTATACTCGTAGCAAATTTACTGTTTTATACTTCCAATTATTTGAAGACACGCAAGTTCTGATTTAACATGTAAGACATGACTGTTAACTGTTAAAATGACCAAAACATCTGCAACATTAGCAAACATGTCTGCAGTTATCATCGTTATCATGTCTCTGGTGGAGCTGGGGGGACTTCCCATAAAAACAAGATTTTAAAAATGTGAATAGGTGCGGAAAACTATCCAAAATATATGAACGAAACCAATAAAGTTCCCATTACTTGTTATTTGAAAAGTCATCTTCGGAGATGTTCTCCGCTGTGTTTTATCCACAAATTTTCACTCTTTTGGTCCTTTGGTATTCCACTTTACAACCAAATGACACGTAATCCAGCCAATATGGAAATGGTAAGATTTTTACCTACGCAGTAAATGAAAAGGGTACGCCACCTTCTTAAATTAAATTTTAAAGTCCCCCCGGGCCACACCGAGTATAAGGTAATGTATTATTGAAAGGTCCAAAGTTTTCAACACTCATGATATAATAAACTACAGATTCCAGCAACATTACAGGAAAACTGTACGATTCGCTCGTGTATGTAACAACGTATTAGATTTTAGCCAGAGAAATTTATGTATTACTGAAAAATTATTACACCAGGGTTTTCGATATCATGAACTAGTCAAAACATTTACTAAATTTTATCATCTATATAAGGACATCGTTTGTAAATATATCTCAACATGCAGACATCTTATACGTTCGGGTATTTCACATCCAATCTTTTATGGTAATATTCTTTACAAAGCACAAAAATGTCAGTATTCACCTCAAAAGCTAACAAAACCTTTAAACAGACTTATTAAGAAGGGATATAGTTACGATACTGTTGTCAGGTCATTAAAGATTGCATATTTTGGCTTTAATATTGATTAACTTATAGGGTCTTTGCATCGGAATTAAACACATTTATTCTAAAACCAGTTGTTGGCATGACACGGGTTATGTTCTTCTCATATATTTTATGACGGTAAAATACTAAACCCCTAACAGGAGGGATTGTGCCTGATATTCATATGATGAAGACATAATCTTTCAATCAGTTTAATTGAAGTCTGGAGCTGGCCTGTCAGTAACTGCTAGAAGTCTGTTGTTATTTATGTATTATTGTCATTTTGTTTATCTTCTTTTGTTTCCTATTCTGACATCGGACTCGGACTTCTCTTATACTGAGTTTTACTGTGCGTATTGTTGTGCGATTGTTTTTTCTACATTGGCTAGAGGAATGGGGGAAGGGTTAAGATCTCAAAAAAAATGTTTAACCCCGCCGCATTTTTGCGCCTGTCCCAAGTCAGGAGCCTCTGGCCTTTGTTACTCATGTATCATTTTTAATTTTAGTTTCCTGTGTATAATTTGGAGTTTAGTATGACGTCCATTATCACTGAACTAGTATACATATTTGTATAGGGGCCAGTTGAAGGACACCTCCGGGTCCGGGAGTTTCTCACTTCATTGAAGACCCATTGGTGGCCTTCGGCTCTTGTCTGCTCTATGGTCGGGTTGTTGTCTCTTTGACACATTCCCCATTTCCATTCTCAATTTTATTATTTCTCCAGACCCACTCGGCCTAGTGAAGAATATAATTTACGTATTTTGATAAAACCAAAAGCCAAATGATTCTTTTATTGTCAACACTATTCTAAATGTTTGTTTTATGATGTCCTATTGAAAGACGTTTTGGATAAGTTCTAAACAAAGCTTTATCAGACAATCATTAGACATTTGTAATTTGTTGCCCTGTTTTAAATAAGTCATACTTTTGCCAGAACCTTAATGCCAATTATGAGCTATGATGCTGTGAATTTAAATCATTTTAATGGATGTTAAAAGTCAAAATTCATCTATATATAAAAGCTTTTTATATACAATTTCTTAAAGTGTACCTATTTACAAACTTAAGATGTAAATTGAATGTAGGTTTATAATTTACAATTGAAATTTTGCTTAAATATACTTTATATTAAATTAATACTGAAAACAATACTTGAAAAATTTTAAATCATTTGAAGCGTTTTTCTTTTATCAGAAAGGCTCAATGTCAAATACTGGAATGCCAAGAATTTATCAGAACAGTTGAACGCCCATGTCACCGAAAAAAACCTCATCACACCAAAATAAAAAAAAATATATATAATTGACTTATTCATCTAAGGTCAACTTTACCTGAGGGATTATAAGTGTCCTATAAAGCAGATGTGCGACAAAATGACAATACGTTACCTGATGGTTGTTCTTGTGATCCTGCTGTTGATGTCTGTATTTCGGATGTTTCCAAAGGGCAATCGGTGATGTCAGCAACACATTCCCCTGAATGCATCTTTGTAATCCCTCCACACAGTGTGGTGCAACTACACCTAAAAAATAAATAAGGAATTGGAAATTAATGTCCTGATAACAAAACTACTATACTATAGTATAAAAGGGAGATGAGGCCATCACAAAGAAAATGTTTGTTTGCCATAAGCCTGCATACCTAGAAAATAGCTGCCTATTCAAAATCTTTAATTGACCTGATGTGAAAATGTTTGTTTTTTTCAGATAGGTATGAAGACTAAAAACATTCGACACTTCAAAATCTCTTTGAAAAAAAAAGAAAAAAGAAAAATGAAAATGCCTACCTACCAACCTACTGTCGAACCTTTGTGAATGGATTTGGCAAACCACAATATTTTAAAATGTGACCTGAATGGATCACAACAACAAACTACTAAGTTAAACAGAAACAGATTATGTTCAAGTATCAAAAATTTGCTTTTTGCAATCGTGAAGTCATTTTTATATTTCATTAAATATAAAATTGACATATCCCACCATAGGCTGAAACAAGTTAAAATTATTAAAAAGTATGAATGCAAACTACATATATATAAAGTCTAAATTGAAAACAACGTTCAAACCTATGATTGCGTTGGATAAAACCCGCAATTTTTATACGTGTGCATGTAAAACAAATCCCTTGGTAAAATCATTTTCCAAAAGACCAAAAAAGTGAAAAAGTATATTTTAACAAAACGCATTTGACTAGCAGGTCGAACAACTGATGTTCTTAACATTGCTAAATAATAGAAACATCAAATGTAAAAATGGATCTTATTATTTATTTAATACCAAACAGAAAACAATAAACTTGCGGAAAAGATGGTATACCGCGAACATGAGGTGCAAAAATTTGTACACCATATCCGGATTTCGACAATTAATGTCTCTTCAGTGATGTTAGGAATCGAAACGGTATTTGGAAGGCTATATAATTTACCTCAATTTTGGATCGACTCTTGAATTTTGAAGAGTCGAAATAGAATGAACGGATCATATAAACTCGAAGGCAAACATAATACAAGCCCAAACGAAAAAATATAAACAAGTCTAAATTGAAAACAACGTTCAAACCTATGATTGCGTTGGATAAAAACCGCAATTTTTATACGTGTGCATGCAAAACAAATCCCTTGGTAGAAAGGTCTAAAAACAGCACAAACAACATTTTCGAAAAGACCAAAAAAGTATATTTTAACAAACGCATTTGACTAGCAGATCGAACAACTGATGTTCTTAAACCCTGCTGACTGCCATAGGCGATTGCCAAATAATAGGATCACCAGATGTGATATATATATATATATAGTTTGGCACGTGAGAGTGGGATTTTATCGAAGACAGTAATATGAAAGAAACAAGATAGTAAGAAATAAAATTGACAATGGAAATGAGGAATGTGTCAAAAATATAACCTCCCGACCAAAGAGCAGCAAACAGCCCAAAGCCACCAACGAGTCTTCAACACAGCGAGAAAATCCCATACCTTGGGCCAGTCTTCAGTTTCAATTGACCACTAATATAAAATGTGTACTAATTCAATGAAAATGAACGTCTCACTAAACACTGAATTATATAAATGGACTAAAACAATATAGTATACAAGACTAACAAAGGCTAGAAGCTCCTGACTGGGGACACGCGCAAAAAAGCGGCGGGGTTAAACATGTTTTGTGAGATCTCAACCTTCCACTATATACTTCTAGCCAATGTATAATAAACAAACACACAGAAATACGCAACGTAAAACTCAATTCAAATAACTCCGAGTCTGTGGTCAGAACAGAAGAAATTAAGCAAAATGACACTGATACATATATTAAAATCATAAAATGTATGAGATGAAAATAAAATTGAAAACAACACGTTATAAATTTCATGCGTTCGAAGCGTTTTTCTGGATTTACCTTCATCAGGAACGCTGAAAGCCATCTATTTGAATGCCAAGGATGTATAAGGACCGAAAACGTTGAAGAGCTATAAACAAAATAGAACCTTAAAAATAATTAGCCAAATCCATCTAAAGGTCAACTTTGAGTTTCTGTATAATTTCAAAATTTATAAACGGGAAATTTTAGATATTATGTTATAAATCATGTCAGTACCGAAATACTGACTACTGAGCTAATGATACCCTCGGGGACTGATAGTCCATCAGCAGAGGTATCGACCCAGTGCTGGTAAAAAAATTGAAAACAACACGTTATAAATGTCATGCGTTCAAAGCGCTTTTCTGGATTTACCTTCATCAGGAACGCTCAAAGCCAAATATTTGAAGGACATGACCCGTATACATATTTGTTTTATTTGATGGTAGCACAAATTTGGAATTTTCTAAATAGATATATAATATTTATTTAAATAGCTTAAGTGTAGTTGAATGAAGCCTAACCAATGCAATGTGTTTTTTCTTTGATAGAGACGATGGATAAATCTAATTATGGACTTCAAAAGATACTTAAATAACTATATAAAACCACCACAATATGGTATTATACTATTATAATAATACCAACAGTTTAATTCGTCAGAACGGTCAGTACATTCAAAGCTATCGTCACATCTATAAACAGATTGAATACAAGCTCCGTCATCGCACTGAAACTCATTTGCAGCACATGTCGCCTCTGTAAATGGAAATACAAGTGAGAGGTTCATATAATCTTACTTAATAATTGCACTTGATCATGAAGCATGGACGGCTGAAAAACGTAAATAGAAATACAATGTATGTGTATTTAGAAAAAGGTAGTATTTGAAATTTATAGTTATGGGTTAAGAAAAGGTAAATAAAGAGTCATGCAAATTCGAAATAAACTAAAGGGATATTTGATCTGATAAATAGAAGTCATTCTGACAACGACATGGTTAAAATATGAATAGAATGAAATGCAGAATAAACGTTAATGAGACAGGAATCCCAAGAGATAAGTCACATTCATATATGATATGAAAGAAAGGGATTTTAAATTTCGGAGCATCAAATGTGTAAAAAATCTGACAAAGACTTGTCTCCGCTGTACATAAATTTAAAATCATTATTGATAAGGTATATAGTCAACAATAATTTAACTATTGGTGAGTAACCGAGTTAAAACTTTTTGTTTATCTTTGTAGTATATGATACATATATCATCTATATTAAAATGTTTTACACAAATATGCCAGTCTTTTAATGTAAGAGTTATGTCCCATAAACTTAATGTGAAACTATTATTTAATACCTGATACGTCTGAACCGCTTAATATAATTAGAATATAGCAAAGTACTCTCGACCAATGAAATTGTAGAATTGGATGCCTCTTAATTGTGAAGAATGAATGTAAATCATGTTCTTAGTAAGGGATTATCCTATTATTTGGGTCTATTTACAGTTCAAAACAAAGAGTTTCTATAAATGAGTTACAACTGCCCAGAAGCACATTTATCAGATTGAAAGGATTTATCACACAGTGATTGAAACTGACTAAAAGCTGAATTGTGAAACAAACAAAAATCTCAAAATAAGTTGAAGTTTGACTGGTGCAGCAAAAAATTGGTACCGTGAATTTTATTATGAAAATATTAATAACTTCAAATTACTATAAAATTAAACAATACCAAAGCAATGCAAAAAAAAAAATAACCTAAATCTTTAGCGTTCCAAAACTTTGATAACTTGATCAGCGGTTGGGGAGAATAGTTATTTCAAATACAATTATTCCGATAAAAAAAAAGGAATTAAATTTTAAACATATTAAAAACTTTTAAGGGCATTATTTTTGAGCATTTCCCTGACATAATGAAACAGTATTTGATGTAAAAAGCCGGACCAAATTATTGGCTGTGAAATAAAATTTAGTTGTAACTCTAATGTATTAATTGATTTAAACTGTAAATAAAATAGGATAATTCCTCACATGATTTACATTCATACTCACAATCAGGAAACATACAATTCCTACCTTTTCTTACTACTGTTGTGTCACCTAATATCTATAACGCATTTTTTTAAAAAATATTTCCCAAATGATTAAGAAAGTCCTCACATCACTAAAACTTATCCATAAATGACATGCCGAAAAAGGAAGTCATGCATCAATTATAAACATTGCACTGACAATGAAACTAATTCTTGAATACAACCAATCAAGAGATCATTTGAGCCTTGAGCACTTTACAATATTCTAAGTTTGTAAGAGAATGATAATCCCTTACTTCATGAGTAACGCTCGTACTTATTCATGAAGAAAGGGATTATCATTCTCTTACATATACTAAATACTGAAATATTTTTTCGGGGTCTTTGCAATAAATCTTACATCTATTCACTTTTTTTATTATTTTGTTTTTGTTGCTATTTAAAAGTACAAAATGTATTTATGTTATCAGTTTTATTTTTGGCTTTATATGATCGATAAGTTATTATTAATGCTTTTATTTTCACAAACTATATTTACCTGTCACATTATAAGTAGTTATGGATATAAATGCAATGGCAAGGAACGATATTCTTATCTTCATCTATTCTTCATTCATCTGAAATTTCAAGAGAACAGTATGGGGACATTGCAAATATGTGGAAATGTTCATTAAGTTTAATAAGACCTATACTATGTATATATTGCTTTCTCTGTTTGGCAATCTTTATTATTTGTAATCAATACCGTTATAAAGCAGTTCATTTTCACACTGAACCATGTCATGATAGATTGAATGTAGATTGTTCCTATTTTTAGACCATATATAGGTATTATTTGGCAATTGTTAACATGTGCTTTATAACGTTATTGATTACACATAATCAAAATTGTCACACGTAGAAAGTAAACGTCATAATCGAAAACATTTAAACTTCCTGTTTTCGTTCATTGAGAATATATCTCGTTCATGTTTAGTCTATTCCTTTTAGGGAGTGACTTTAATTAAGATTGCCTTTACTTATATTTTAAAAGGGGAAAACTAATTTGCAGGACATGTCACCTCTGTAAAAGGAAATACAAGTGAAAGGTTCATATAATCTTACTTAATAATTGCACTTGATCATAAAGCATGGACGGCTGAAAAACGTAAATAGAAATACAATGTATTTGTATTTAGAAAAAGGTAGTATTTGAAATTTGTAGTTATGGTTTAAGAAAAAGTAAATAAAGAGTCATACAAATTCGAAATAAACTAAAGGGATATTTGACCTGATAAATAGAATTCATTCAAATAGATACCTATTTCTATCAACGTTTTCGTCGCATAGATAACACAAAAACAAATTTAACATAGCGGAAGGATTCCCTAGCGCTTGAAGTATTTGTAAAAATGGTTTACATAGGGTTGTGCAGACAAAGGTTTTTTGAAACATATCATCTATTAAACTCTTGATATTTGTTTTATTATCGAGAGGAACTGAAATATGTTCTAATTTTGACTCAATTTGTATTGTTTTATTCTATTTCAATATTTCCCAAGCTTCTATGCTATTATTAATTTAATAAATACATATTTCTGATTTATTTTATTTAGAATATACCTTCACACGAAGATGATACTAAGTACTGACTTTATTGGAATATATAATGTATATCAAAGTATCCTTTGAAATATTTTCTAGGTCGGCCATTTTATCTGTTTAATCTTTTTCAGCACTAGTACATGACTGCTGATTCCGACTTTTAATTTTGTAGTATTTTGGGTTTGACGATATTAAAAATCGCCATGTTTATTTTTTCGTTTTGCATTTTCAATACCTAGTATTCACAAAAACATATAATATTACATACTTATTTACTAGTATTCAATTATTTCATCACTACTATTTCAATAAGTAAATACCAAAATAATTTGACTCATCGATATTTTTTTTAATTTCAAATAAAAATCTCTTATATTTTATAGAATTTTTTAATGCATTCATATATGATGTGGTGGGTTTTTCACGTAAAACCATTAAATATTCTTCATTGTATTAAATATACCGCTTTATATTTAGAGTCTGAAATTCAAATGTAATTTAAATTCATTGATGATTTAAATCTCCTGTGTAATTATGCACTTTACAGTCATCCTTCACTTCGTCATTTAGCCTGATGAGTTTAAACTGATCAGGCGCAGCTTGATAGTTAGCTGATAGAAAGCCAAAGAAACTGACTTTATATAAATCAAGTATAAACAGCAATAACTGTCTTAGATTTATATGTATTTAAACATGGAAAACTTTACACAAAAATTTAAAGCGACGATTTTTCGCTTCTTAGTTCTTATTGATTATTGTTCTTATTTTGGTCGGTGATGCTACTTTGGCATCATCTTATTGCGTTGATATACCCCAGTTCACTGTTCCTGTGTTTATAGTGACGTTTTGGTTGTCTATGAACGTAATCTTTGTATTACTGATAGATTAATAAGACTAGGATTTCTTTACCACAAATTACCCAAAGTATGCATGTTTAAAAAGAAATGATTCAATTTGGTAATTTATCCCATTTGGAACTTCAGTTATTATCTCCCCTGACGGAGTTCTCCCTTTGAGAAGCAAGAACACTACATTTTATACAGAATGTGAATGGATAGTTGGTGGGAATTTTCACCTGGGATAGCAGACGACAACTTCAAGCAGACAAGAAGAAAACGCACATTTTACTTGTTTAATGTACAACAAAATCAGATTAAACTTGAGACTAGGACAAAAGGACAATATGCTAATAAAAAATAAAAACAAACAAACAAACCTAAAAGACAGTAAAAGTTATACTGCTTATCAAAGGCACTGTTGGCAGTATTGCACTTGTTTCTATCCATATGTAATTTATGAAATAAGGCCTGTGTTGCTTATGTAAATGCCATAGTGTAACTTTTCCTATACATTTGTTGTAATTACAGAGACAAAGATATTTGTTTGACCAACAAAGAGAGTAGCCTTTTTTAACTGATTTTTATTGTTCGTTCTTTTTGTTGTACTGTTACACCACTGTCCCAGGTTAGGGGAGGGTTAGGATCCCTCTAACATGTTTAACCCCGCCACATTCTGTATGTATGTGCCTGTCCCAAGTCAGGACCCTGTAATTCAGTGTTTGTTGTTTGTTTATGTGTTACATGTCTGTTTTTCGTTCATTTTTTGTACATAAATTAAACCGTTAGTTTTCTCATTTGAATTGTTTTACATTTGTCATTTCGGGGCCTTTTATGGCTGACTATGCGGTATGGGCTTTGCTCATTGTTGAAGGCCGTATGGTGACCTAAAGTTGTTAAATTGTGTCATTTGGTCTCTTGTGGAGAGTTGTCTTATTTGCAATCATACCACATCTTTTTTTTATATGTACCATCTGCGGTATATGACAGTTGTTTTCTATTCGATTGATTTGTTTGAGCCATCGATAAGGGACTTTCCGTTTTGAATTTTCTTTGGTATTCGGATTTTTGTATTTCTAATTGGTATGTATACCACTTGTCCTTATTTCATATTGAATAATAAGGAAATTCAAGTATATATCGATGAGACAAGCGATATGTTATGCAGTTTTTAGAATGTTACCATTTTTGAAATACGTTGTGTTTTTTCTACGACTAGGAATAACTGATCAAAACCAAATTATACTACGTTATACCTATACGCATAATTTATCTTACTAATGTTACCTCCAGTATAGTTATTTGTTTACATACTTATAGGTTATTTTTATACCTTGGTCATTGAACAATCCAGCAAATGAGTTACAATTTATGACGGACAACTATAAGTTATAACCTTCCGAAAACTTATGTTTTTTACTGACATAAAACGCAATTTTTCAAAAGAGCCAAGAAAAAATTTGCAATAACGTATTAGATTTGATTAAAGAATAATTCATCAGAAGGGAAATTATTATACATTTGCGGAAAATTATTTAAAAAAGAAATAACAAAAATAATAATTTCTCTCCCCTTTTCAATTTCTTTTTAATAAATATAAATACGTTTATTAAACACAACGGTTTATTTTAATGTTTAAATTGACATAATCAAAATGATATTGCAAACAAAGTTAAAAGAGATAAAAATCAATTTCAAACTTACCTTTTTAAATGAACACTTTGTATTTATCAAGGTATGCAATTAACAAACTGTGGTGGAATTCCTCGTGTTTCTATCGGATATAACAATAAGAAAATGGAAATTTTCGAAATGAAAGAAGTGATTATTTTTAGTCTAATGTTAGAATGGGAAATACCCTTAATGAAATTGATTTGAACATTTAAAGTAATTTACATGTATTGAACTGTTGTAAAAAGGAAATATGACTCCTTTCGTAATGAACAAAAAATACATTATGGAGAACTTTTTAAATAATTGACAGCATATTTTTGTAAATGAGGAGAGTAGAACTTTGTTTAACAAAATGAAAAAGAATGGAGATCAATTAATTGTTAATGATTTTGGTTATTAAATGATTTATTTCTGAATATTGAAAGAACTGGAATGAATTGTGATAAATCTGTTTTTGTATGTATTTTTCAGGTGTTTTAAAAACATATGCAATCACGAGTAATTTCACGTAAAATTCAAGTTGAATTATAATTCGGTTTATGCTATATTTTAAAGTGTAATTCGCGTAAACTGTATAAAACACTCCGATATTGAAATTCAATTTAAATTCATGGATTCTTTATACGCAAACATGTAAAATACAGTTAATCAAAGGTATAAATATTTTCTCTAATTCTGACCTGATATACTTTTCCCGAACGTCTCCGTTTTATAATCGACGTGTGTTTTCTTTGATATCAGTTTTTCACTTGTCAAGATTCAATTCATCAAATGTTCTTGATGTCCCTAGAAAGGTCTATTGTAAAGTCAAGAAAAAAGGTGATTATACTTGAAGACTGATGACGTCAACTTTTAAAAAAGGAAACATTTTTTTGTAGATCAGTGAAAAGTATGTCTACATATAGTTTTACAAATCATTTGAGAAAGAGATTCCACCATCGAATCTCTTGCAATACGATATTTCTCTACTTTCGACACTTTTTTCACTAGGAGTACTCGCTACAATCTTTCATGAAAGTAAAATAGTGAACTAATAATTTGCTCTTTACAGCGAGTATCATTTTTTTGTCAGTATAAGCTTAGAAAAATAATTATACCAGGATAACATACGTTTATTTCTGGTTAGACAATTGACAGAGTGCATATTCATAAAACAGTAATTACTAGATGCAAGTGTGAAAAGCATGGTTATATTTGGTTAGTAGTTAGATATATCTTATTATATAGTAATATGTTATAGGAATAGTACGAACAGTTGTGTTGGTGCATAATATATTGGTTAAAATACACGAAATGATAAAATGGAAATGCATATATTTCAAACACAAATTTAAAACGAATTGTCAAGTCAGGCAATGAAAATGCTAAACTATTGAAAGTGTCGTTTTATTTTACGATTCTCTAGCCGTAGTTGAACTAGTATTGCTGTCAATATTGAACACGGCTGCTGTTTTAATACCACCAGGATGTGGGGGAGGAACCACATATCCAATGTACATGTTGAATGATTGGATCATTTATAAACGACAAACGTAAACTGGTAATTTAGTACCTTCTTCCCTGGTCCCAGCACCCAAACGAATCATATATTTTTGAAATATCTGCATGTGCAGATTTTTCAAATATCTTTGTCTTTCAAACAGGTTGTTGCTCGTTTAATTACATCGCCAAAATAATCATTAAACAAAAGAGATAAGCACCTGTCTTGTTAATGGCCTTACAAGTCTGAGATTACTACAATTTTCTAGATCATCATGCGCGTAGCTACGTTTACGTCAAAACGCCCGGGCGTACACTTGAGTTTGGTATAAAAAAATATTTTCATCTAAATAAAATTAAAAGAATTGGTTAACAGTTCACCACCCTTCTAAGTATTTCTTCAATGGCTTGTAATTGCGAATAAAAGTGACGAAAATTAGTAGCATGTTATATATTTGTACATTTTCTGTCAAAGTCTAAATCTCCCCTCAATTCTACACTCACTTTCCTTTTTATACGACCCCAAAAAAATTTGCGGTCGTATATATATTAGTATCACGTCGTCGTCGTCGTCATCGTCCGAAGACATTTGGTTTTCGCACAATAACTTTAGTATTCGTAAATAGAAATCTATGAAATTTATACACAAGGTTTATGACCATAAAAGGAAGGTTTGGATTGATTTTGGTTATGGTCCCAACAGTTAAGGAATTAGGGGCCAAAAAGTGGCCCAAATAAGCATTTTTCTAGTTTTCAGACAATAACTTGTGGAATGGTGTATGGATCTCTCTGATATTATACCACAAGTTTCCATACCACAAAGGGATGGTTCAATTTGGCTTTAGGGCGTTATGGCTATAACCGTTTAGGAATTATGGGCATAAAAGGGGGAACAAGGGTGTCCTGGTTAATGGACAATTACTTAAGTACACAACATAATTTAAAAGCAGTGTAAGGAAAGTGATTCAAACACAACATTTTGAATTACCTTCCTTACATTGCTTTTAAATTGAATATAAAGAAATGTTGTATTGTCTTGAGGTGATTAGCTGTCAATTTCTTTTTTGAAGTTACTATTTTAAAAATGCTGATGAAGGTAATTTAATTTTAGCCATGATTATGTACGTCATTTTCTTTTTTAAGACTTTTATGATGTATTTATATGGGCTATTATGTTTGCAAACTCCATTTGAAATTTGAATTGAGATTATGACTTTATCTAGAGATAAAGAAATTTTCGGGGGTTGTGGGGTGGGGGGTTGGACAATTCGCAACATCATAGTGTATTGCACAAAAGCAAAAAAAATTAAAATAAATTCACATCACATAACCAATTCAAGTTCTTTGACTACAATTATTCTGTGTCAGAAACCTATTATGTGTCAAATATTTAATTACAATCCAAATTCAGATCTGTATCAAGTGCGAATATTGTGTCCATTTTTGCCCCGACTGTTCAGGGTTGGACCTCTGCTGTCGTATCCAGCTGCGCTCAGCGAAGCATTTTTTTTTTAATGCAATGCATTATGTGCTAAGATTGGATATGTGGTTTGCATTTTTGTCGAGCCATTGACATTTATGTCGCGAAAGTGAGACATTTTGATCCTAAATTTCGTCAGTAGTGACAATATTATAACTATGTACATGTAGGTTCAGTATGTGGTTAAAGTTTAAAGATATCAATAACTTTGTCAAACCTTCGTAAAATTTTATGGTAGCTGGACAAAAACTGTTTATGGTCAAAAGAGTATCCAGAGCATAATGACGAAATTATATATGACCAGTGTTCCCGTGTTTTATGGATAAAAGGAATTTCTTTTTGCATCAACAGTCTGGGGTTAAAATTTGTTACATTTCAATTACTTTGTTATACCTTCGTCGTATTTAATGAAACTTTTTTTTTTCATGGTTAATTTCTGAAGCAAAATTTTTTTCGTTCATTTTTCAGTTTTAAAATTACAGACGGAATTTAAATCAGACGATCTGGAATTTTTGTCACGTTTGTTTCGAGCGACGTTGATCAATGTGTCTTTTGCAGACGAAACGCGCGTCTGGCGTAAGTACAAAATTTTATCCTGGTATCTATGATGAGTTAATTTTCGTGATGAATGTCATTCTGGATAACTCTTAAACTTCCGGAGGCTTCGTCCCCGCTAATCCACTACCAGCAGGTTCTTTGGCCTGGACCCGCTTGGGCCTTCATGTCCCTCACCGAGGTTCGGGTGTACACGTAAAAATGACCTAGCTACGCCACTGATCATTACTGTGTCCCCTTTCAGTTGATCATAAAGTAACTGTTCGAGTCTAGAAGCATATATTCTAATTGTGTCTAGCTTAAATATTGTCCTAACGCAATTGTCTATACGTAAACCCTCGTTGTTGATAACTTTTCTGCAAGAATGGTACCGTTTTTTACTCTCCCCAAAAATCTTTTAATGTTTGGCTTTATGATAAATGTGGCACTTAGTAACACTAAAGGTACATCAAAACACTTTTTAACCTTTTATAAAGATTATTTGTTGAGTTTGATAACTTATGGCGGTCATCTAGGAAGTAATGTCAAGTGTCGAAGGAAGTACTGAAGGCAGCCCGGTCATCTAGGAAACAACTGCCATATCTCTGTGTCATTTGGTCTCTTGTAAAGAGTTGTCTCATTGTAATGCATACCACATCTTCTTTTTTATATATTGAAATTTTAATTTGGGTTCCTAGCTAATAATGTTCGAAGCACCTAGCACTACTAACATGACATATTTGAACTGATATAAGGGATACATGTTGATTTTAATATTTCGTGGCGACCATCTTTCAAAAAAAAACGTCATAGTGAAATTTCAAGGTGGGTACATAAAGATTATATTTTGAAACACCCAGCACTACTACCATGGTAAAATTGACCTTAAAGGTGACCTTATTTTATTAATAGTGAACAAAAAGGTAAAACATGCTACACATATCTTTAAGAACAAATGATCAGTATGCTGGAGTTTTGTATTGACAACATATTTAAATATTTGTTGAATTCGAAGGTAGACTTTTTCAACAAATTGTCTGCATTCCTATGGGAACGAACTGTGCGTCTCTCATAACCGACCTTTTCTTATTTTCATATGAATCGGAGTTCCGTCAGACACTTGTCAAAAACAAGAAGATCAAAGAAGCCAGGTCATTTAATTTCACATTCAGATATATTGATGATGTTCTTTCCATTAACAAGCCAATCTTTTCTGATTGGATTCCATTGAAATGTCCCCCAGAACTTGAAATTAAAGAAACAATAGAAACGGCTTCCTCCGCCTCATTTTAAGACCTATACCTCGAATTTGACAGACACGGTTATCTTAGTACCAGATTCTATGACAAACGGGACGATTTTAATTTTGAAATTATCAATTTCCCCCACCATAGTAGCAATATACAAACTTCACCTGCATATGGGATATACATTTCCCAACTAATTCGGTATTCAAGAGCCTGCAGCTCCTACTCAGACTTTGTAAAATGTCACCAGTGTCAGAGCAGACAGTTGATGAACCAGGGGTATGTCAAAGAACATCTAGTAATTTTTTCCTAAAAAAGTTCATCGATAGGTACCAAGAACTTGTTGATAAATATTCCGTATCAACTT